TCTAACCTGATCCTGTGGCTCTGGATAGAGATAATGATTGAAAACAAACACAAATGCGCCTCCACCATTAATGGTTAAATCATAAATGCTCACTTTTAAAGAGTGGTGTAGGAGGGTGCTAGACTGAGAATGTGAGCCAGAGAGAAACTTGTTTTCGTATATGTCAGACTAAGCGTTTCTTTAGTGCAGTGTGGGAGTTTGTCTTGGATATGAGAGTGTTGTTGTGACAGTTTATGGTAATTATCCATATGTAAGGACACCCATTGCTTTTGGCCCAAATATTGTGTTATGGGGCATATTGAGAGGTTAAATGTGAGTCTGGAGCAGATTGACTCTGAACTTTGAACCTGACGATTCTTCGGCTTTCTCTGTAATTAGGTGGTGCCGAATAAACCGCACAGATTTACATAAAGACAAATTGTTGGTCACTGGTTGCTCTTTTGATGCTCAAAAGACGGAATGGAGCCTTTGATGTTTAGGTTCAATACACAAGTATGCAAATTGTTAAAGGTCCCCTGACATGAAATTTTCACTTTCTGGGGTTTTTTAACATTAATCTGATTTCCCCTAGCCTGTATTTGGCCCCCCGAGTGGCTAGACATTTTAATCGGTGTTAACCAAGCTTTGGCTATCTATCTCGGTCTTTGAGAAAATTAAAGCTCAGACGAGCTGATCTTGAATCTCCTCCGTATGACGCCATAAGCCCCGTTCATACTACAAGCGACTTTTTGGAGTGCGTCACTACTGGTTGCCTAGTAAAGTTTGTGAGTGACATTCACGGATGTTACTCAAGGGCTGGAAGTTGAAGCCTTGCAGGAGCCGCCATCAACGCGTTCTCATCCCAAAGCGCCATATAGGACGCTTTTGCAAAAGCGTAAATATCCAACGCACATGGCACCCTTTAACGTCTAATGAGACGCTTCGGTTAATGGTTAAGTTTAGGTATGGTGTAGGGTAAGGGTTAGACCACTAGGGGGCGCCTTCTGCCCAAATATATCTGCGTCTCATTTCACGTTAAAGGGTGCCATGTGCGTTGGATATTTACACTTTTGCAAAAGCGTCCTATATGGCGCTTTGGGATGAGAACGGGCTCGCCATTGTAGCAGAACTTCACCTGCTGTTAGCATTCCATTGACTCCCATTCACTTTGACAGCGAATAACTTGACATCTGAGGCATCCAAAGACTCCGTTTGTCCATTATTTATTTCTAAAGAAACACGACAATGTATAAAAGGCTCCATTACGTTGTATCTTACATTATGGTTCCGTAGAAGCAGTTTTTGTAAAAAATAGGCTAACTATTGCGTCATAATCAATCGACTCTCCGTCGCACAGACCCTATGGACAGGAGGAGAAGCTCGCGGGCAATTGGAGGGACATGGAGGCATAAAGTCTGATGAAGTCAAGGGGGAAGCATATATTCATAATTCGTAAAGACTTTTAAATTTTGAATCTTTTTGTACTTTTTTTTAGATGCTGTTAGATATATTCATATTGTTCGTTTCAGGATATCCAAACATTAACATCATAAATTTGTACAAATACCCACATAGCATAATTTGGTCTTGAGGGAATTTGGTGAGAAATATTTGAGTTCATGTTTAATTTTCTACTGTAGACGTATCTTATCGGATTGATTGAGTCATGATTTTGTGAAATCTATAATGAAACTCCTGAGATAACTTTTTCTCTGGAGAATGTTCTGAGAAGAAGGCAATTCTAGCAAATTCTCCATTTGCTCTACATTAAAGAAATAAGAAAGATATCTCATTTGTGATTTTTCATTCCATTTTAGCTATAGTCTTTTAGTTTTCTGGTCATTGTGTGAGAGAGTGCTTACTGAATGTCTATTGCTTGTGTGCATATTCATATGCATTTGTTGTTGTGGACGTTCTTTAGTGTGTTTGTGTCTGGTGTGAGTCTCTGCACGCTTTTGATTGACAGGCGGGCAGATAAACAGGGATGCATGTGTCTGTGTCTCAATGACACGCCGCTTTGCCCAGAGGGACGGGGGAAGTGGAGCGCTGCACTTCCTGCGGAGGGGCGTGGTCCTCTCTGCGGGGGTTTTTGAGCTGGCACACGCGCGGGCAGCAGCCTCACCACCCCCACCCCCGCGGGGGAGAGAGGGCCCCTCTTCTCAACCTTCACTAATGTATAATTCATGCTAAGTAGCAATTTTGATGTTTTGCTGGAGGGATAAAGAAATCCAAGAAATTCATAAATAAAGTTTCCTTTTTTCTCATCTCTAGTTAATTTATGTTATCACACAATTAGCTGACACAGAGCCTTGGATGTATGGCTCCCCTAGAGTTGCGCCTGTTCTACCGAGAGAGACGTGCTGAAAAATGACCCAATAAGATTGGTCAGGCTTCCCCAACAGGAGAGGCTTGTCTGGTGTCACTTGTCACTTGTAATGGACCTCGATGCCCTATGGGACAGCCAAAGGTTCTCTGATCCAATCACATCTTCTTATTATCCCTGTAAGAATCTTCCGTTTCTAATAGAGCAGAGAAACTGCACTGTTTTTCCTAAATACTTGGAAGTTTGTGGACCAACCCATTCTCACCCCCAAGGCGTCACCTAACTGACATTTTGACCATGCTTCAATATCTGACGCTTTAGGCGCCCTTTAGCGTCATATAGATGATGCCCTAGGATCGCGCGTAACCCTACCTGTAGGATTGCGTAATTTAACTGGGCACCTAAAGCGTCAAATATTGAAGCATGGTCAAAAGGTGACGCCTTGGGGTGAGAATGCGTTGCGTGGACTGTGTCTATGGCGTTGAACACAACATGATCACATCAATAGCATTGTTTTGAAAAAGAATCAAGGCGTTTCAGTATTTGTAGCAATATACTCTACACAAAAGTGTGTACTTTAGTATTTACATTTATTTGTAATTTATATAAAACAGTTTTCCAATATAAAAATACATATCTGTTATATGACTATATACTGTATGACTGCAACAGCATGTGACAATATTTTTCAATATTTGGATTAACAAGTTGATGTATATATATTAAAAATATATACATTTTAAATATTTTGCTACACTACTCTGGACAAACCCAACTGTTTGGCTTAAATTTTTGTTAATGTCATTACAAATTTTAAACTAATGGTGGATTTGTCCATATTTGACCCAAATATGGGTTGAAACCACCCAGCATTTTGTCTCTTTATGGCACTGAACACCAAATGATGACTTCAACTGCATATTATGTGACATATTTTTTTTAAAGCACCAAGATGTATTTGTTTTTCATAAGTGATTCCCAAAACAAATTTATTGAAAGGGTTCTTGCTTTTCGTTAAGTGGTCGGACAGGCGATTCTGAACCGACTCAACTGTGCAGTCGAGAGTTGACTGAGAGTGAGCAGCGATGCGGTGACGGTCCCTCTAATGGAGTCACTTTCAGCTCAATCCACTGATCTGAGTGCAGGTGTGAGGCAATAGAGCGCTCACTATATCACCAGCCATGCCAAAACTGTCATCTCCCCCCGCCAGCTTTTTCATTAAGGCCCTTTACTTCACGCAATATCATTTGCTTTGACATTTCGACGGGATGTTTTTAGCACCACCTCTGTTTCCTCTGCGCTGTTTGAAAGCCATTGGTCATTTGTCAAATGGACTGATTTGTTCTTCAGCCCAGCAAAACGTCCCAACGCTTTACAGTGTGATTTAGCTTCAGCATTGTTCATGTTGCATTGTGTTATCAAATATCTAAAGCGCCACAAATGGTTGGATGCAGCTTGCAAGATGAATGTTTTGAGTGAATGTGTTTTCTTTGTTTAAAGGCCGCCATTAAAGCATTAAACCAGCAAGAGAGAACGCCAAAATCCAGTCTCTGTAGTGCCAACGCCTTCGAGGTCCCAGTGTGCATGCGTTTAATTAAGACCTTTTGTTTTAATTACTTAATCACACTAATTAGTCACAAAGGTGAAACAGAGCTGTAACTGTACAGTTACAGTAAGACTCTAATGATACGATGGTGTTGTTTACATGTTCTTGGAAATCCAGTCTTGTTTGAATAGATATTTTGAACATATATCTGGCTCTTAAAGAGATGAATATAATACTTAATCTGCTATCATTTAAGTATCTTGAAGTCTTAAATCTCATGAAAAATGTTGGATATTAAAAAAAACACAATTGTAACGAGGCTATTGGTTAAAGTTGTTGCATGTCAGGTCATATATTAACATTAATTCACACTATTTTTAAATTTTTTTTTTTTTATTTAAAAAAATGTGTTGATAATGATTAGAAGATGTTGAAAATAATGTTCTTGAAAATCATAAACTCAGTCAAATCTATCAAATTGTTATGTTTTTTTGTTTGTTTTTTTGTTTATTGACTGTACATCTATACCAGGATAATAAACTTATAGATTAGAGTCGGCAGATCAAAGTATGGTACAAATGCACGAGACCAATCAGCGCATGTCTTAAAGATGCCCTAGATTGTGAAATTGAATTTATTTTGGAATAGTTAAATAACAAGTTCAGCATAGACATGACATACAGTGAGTCTCAAACTTTTCTCCTTATTTAAATCTTGTTTTCGAAAAACGCTCCTAAAAAATAGGTGAATATCCACACATAACACTGACTGTGATGCAACAGTCGGGATCATTAATATGTACGCCTCCAAACATTTGCATATGCTAGCCCAAATGACAGGCTAGGAAAAATGCCTTTTATTGTCTGTTTTTTTAGACTATGTTTGATCTAAAAAACATACTATTATTTTAAGGGCAACCTAGGAAACATTATAAAATATTAAAATAGCTCCGTTCTTGGGCACCTTTAACATTAAGGAGGCTTTATGTTTACAAGAGCAGCAATCGTGGCTGTTGCTGCTTCAGAAAAGGCAATTTGTCTCCTCTCCATTCATCAAAGTTTCTCTTTCGTAATTGTCTTTTTGGGGTGTCAGCAAAAAAGACCTGTTCTTTTAAATCTCTGTGACTTTGTTTCTGTGTTTGTCGTCCTATAGGTGAAAAGCACAGCTAGCATCAGCACTAGAGAAGGTTCACGGAGGGTCTCCATCACGGCCGTTCGTTGCGCCCCGGTGGACAGATGTGTTCGGGGAGAGGGGGACGGATGAGGAATGGTCTTGGCTTGTCACCAGGGCAATGTGTAAGGCTGGCCGGCCAGTCGGCTCGCAGCTTGCGCCTGCATTCCCCTTCGCTTAATTAGGGGTTGTTGGTACCACAGAAGGTGTCACCAACCTTTTCAGTCCAATAACAGATGGTGTTTTTTTTTTTTTTTTTTTTTTGAGGTCCTGCCAAAGCCCACTGTCCCACTCCTGGGAAAATGACCTAACTTGCAGGCAGCTGCTTAGTGCGGCTTGAGTGCCTCTTAAAAGAGACTTCTATCAGGGAATTAACGGGACATACCACTGCAGCACGAGGGGTGTGAGTTTGAGATGAGTCCATCTTTAATCGGCCTCTTTAAGCCGGTCTGAGGGCCGAGCTCGTCGTTTGCATTGAAATCCAAAGTGACACTATGGACGAGGTAGGAGGAGGGCTGACACCCTGACTGTTTTACGTGGCTCAGAAGGCTCGCCGATCCCCCCTCCCAAAGCAGATGGTGTGTATAACAACACAGAATGTGGTCCGGGGGAGGTCAGGGAGGGACAAAAAGTGAAAGGGTCCCCAGACAGTTGGGGAAAGAAAAGGCCTGCGGAGCGTGAGGGAGGAGCCAGGGGAGGAGAGAGAGAGAGAAGAAAAGGGGAGAGAAAAGAGAAGTTTTTCAAAGCACTGGTCAGTGAGAGGCTAAAAGAGGAGGCAGAGAGCGTCGGGCTGCAGATGCGATACGTGGGAAGGCAGGGGGTCGAAGCTTTACAAGCTGCATGCTGGGTACACACAGCACTACTGCTGTCAGTCACCAACTCACTTGGCTTCACTGTCTCTTACTCTCTCGCTCTCTGTCTCTCTGTCTTCCTGTACATTGATTCCATTTCCCCTTACAATTAGACTTACCTTAATGAGCACTATTTATGTTTGGATTAGTCCCAAAAAGTGAAATCATATATATGGGGTAAAAATTAAGATCAATATATGTTATTATTTGTACACTGTAAAAAATTATTTTCAAGATTTGTTATCACAACATATGAAGAGTTCAGATGCAAAAGCCTCTAAATGCCATTTGAAATTTTCTTCTTTAATGATGATTTTTATCAAACTTGTATATTTAAGTTCAGTAATTTCACTTAAATAACAATCAATAGGTAATTATCATTGCCATTTAAGTGTAATCACTGAACTTAAATATACAAGCTTGATAAAAATTATCATTCTAGAAGAAAATTTCAAATGGCACTTAGAGGCTTTTGCATCTGAACTCTATATATTTTCTTTTGTCAAATCAACTTTCTAATAATTTATTTAGTTGAGATAACTTATTATTTGGAGTTTCTGATGATTAAATTAATCTCCTTTATTGTATTAACTGACTTTTTCCAGTTCAATCAACTTAAAATTAAGGCAACCCAGGTTACTTACTTTTTTAAGTTAAAACAACAATATTTTTTTACAGTGTAGTTATCACAACATTGTTTCTTTTGTCAAATCAACTTAAATAATTTATTTAGATCAGATAACATGTAATTTTGAGTTTCTGATGATTAAATCATTCTCCTTCATTGTATTAACTCACTTTTTTCAGTTCAATGAACTTAAAATTTTAAGGCAACCAGGTTACTAAATTTTTGTAAGTTAAACCATCAATATTTTTTTACAGTGTATGTGTGAGTGGTTCTAAGAAACCATACATTATGGTGGCCAAATATCCCCACCACTAGGATATTAATACCAGAAATTGTCAAAAGTGTCAGAAGTCTATTAGAAATTTACACTTTAAAAAAAAATTCAAATAAATTCTGATGAATATACACTCAGCTCCACACCAATGCAGGTCACTCATTTTATCTGAACAGCTTCTCCAAGGATTTTAAATACACCATCATTAGTTAAAAAAAAAAAAAAAAATTATTCTGTTGTCAATCCTTTCCTCTCCCTCAACCAGATGCCCAGACGCATATGTTTAGGAAACCCTAAACTTTTAATAGCCAATGCTGGTGGTTTAGAAGATTATTGTGAGATATTTTTACTCACTGATGGCACAGCATCCTATCTGACAGCATCCTATCTGACTCTCACCCTTTTATTAATAAGTTCTCTTGCACACCACGTGAAACGTTTTTTTTTTTTTTTTTTTTTTTTTATACAAAAGAGCGCAGATGTGACAACTTTGTCCCAACGTTATCTTTTAGGCTGATGAATGAACCAGGCCTTTGAGCACCTTACTGTTGTGATATGATTGTGTTGTGTTCGGAAGTGAATTGTATTGTGGACTCCTATTTTGAAAAGGAAGTCGGAACTTTCGAAGTGTTGTGATCTGACGAAATGTGTGTATGAACGGAAGTGAAAGAGAAAACAAGATGGATGAAGGTCTCTACTCCTGTCTTGTGTTTCTCTACTTAATAACTCCTGACAGACACAGATTGGTTGCTAACAAGCTTCTCCTAGCCGATCTCAAGCTCTGAACGGTGAAAAGTGTAGGTCACTGTAACAGTTCTTTTGATGAAAGTTGACTCAGATCTGGAATCCGTTCAGGAAGCTCCCACTCACAGCCACTCACAAAACATTCTCCTTTCACGCTATGCAGCAAATGAGCCAATTCATTTCCAGCCGATAAGAGCTCACGAGAGGCCTGATTTCAGCTTAATCACTTCATATTCTTGGCGTACATTTGTGGGTATGTTGTTCAAATGTTACCTCTGTGTTGTGTGAGAGCTCATAGTCATTCTTCGAGAGATGTGTGTGTGTTAATGAGAGTGCAAAGGGAGCTGGGCTGTTTAACAGGAGTCATGTCTTTGTGTTGGCCTGCGTGAAGCGCTTTAGTTAACAGTGAATAATGGTGCTTGATTACAGCCCATGAGACGGCACATTGCTTAAAATCAATTCTCAATGCAATTACCCACCGCAAACGCCTCCCCTCTCTGCCGGACAGAATAGGAAGTGATTGTGTCAAAGGACAACATCATCTCTGCAAATGACTTGTTGCCTCTTCATATAGGGCCATTAGATGTGGCAGAATATCAGTCAGGAGGCCTTTCAGCACACTCGATCTCATATGTACATATTCACACCTTAGAGAGTGCAGACATGCTAAGATGTTGATTTATTTGTAGACACATCGGAATAGATGCGCATCAGGCTATATACACACATCGGAAAAGCTACAGTGAAGTCCAATTACGAACACAAACACACAATTGAATTATTGATACCAGTTTAGCTTAGCTGTCTTTCTCTGTTGTAGTGTAGTTTTGGAGTGTTATTTGCAGGCCTGGTGCTTCAACAGGATCTAAAGTTGCTGGTTGGTGCACAGCATAAATGTCCATTGGCAATTAAGATAGCATAGTTTGTAATGTGGTCTTCCATGGGTTATAGAAAATACCTCAAAATATCTGAAATTGGTTACATTTTTATAATTTACTGATTGCAAAATGTGTTGGTCTAAACTATACTTTGGGAATTATAAGTGTTTCATGATTGTTTCAGTTTGTTATTTAGCTTAACATCCAATAATAGGCTGTTTAATTGGAGGTTCCACTGTGACAACTTATCCAATACCACAGGTACCTGCAGGGTTTTTAATTTTGTTTTCATTAATTGGTATTTTATTTTGCAAAGATGCAGTTAATTGATAAAAGGTGACAGAATGGTAGGTGACGTTAACAGTGTTACAAAAAAATATTAGCACCAAATCAGCATGTCAGAATGATTTCAGAATTCATTTCGTTTCAAGGATCATGGAGTAATGCTGGAGTAATTGCTGCTGAAAATTCTGACTTTACCATCACATGAATAAATTACATTTTAAAATACATACAAATTATCACACACAAATATATATATACTTTGCAATATCGCTGGAGTAAAAATTGTGACAACTAACCCCAGTCTTCCTTGTATAATGAAGTTTCATGTGGTGAAATGGGTTTCACTATTGACAAGGAGGCTTGTAGTTGACAGTGAAACACTGAGGAAACGCTGTGCGTGTGTGTGGATGGCCTTTCTCTTCAGAAGGTCTGTGTTGGACTGTTTTTGTGTCCAATTTATTAGTTATTTTATCAGACTTTGAGTGATTATGTGGCTCTATGGAAACCACTTGTAAATTGTGGTGGTGTGTCTTTACAGCCTGTAACTTACATGTAGGTTAAACACTAACAGAAACACACTCACACACACTACACACTTCACTCAGCTCCACCTTAAAAACTTTACTGACCAATCCTACATTAGTAACTGTTGCTTTCTGCCATATTATTAGCATTGAGAGATTTATTTCAAGGAAAGCGGCAAATAATAATATTTTGCAGTGCCACACTTAATTCCAGCCCAAATGAATTAATTCAGTACTACTTTGAGCAATTTGTTTTTTGGTCCCACTTTATATTAAGTGCCTTCAAGTACTATGTACTTACATCGACAAATAATTACAATGTACTTATTGTGTTCGGGTCGAATTGTAAAACACTTTTCCTGCTTTTGAGGAGTGATACGGGCAAGGTTAGGGACAGGTGTGGTGGCATGGGTAGGTTTAAGGGTTGGTTAAGGGGTAATGGAAGGGTCAACTGTGTAATTACAAATTAATGTAATTACATACATTAATTACAGCTCTTATTACATGCAGGTATTTTCAAAATATAAGTACAATGTAAAAACATATATGTGCACAATAAGTACATTGTATCCAATTTTTAATATCAATGTAAGTACATAGTACTTAAAGACACTTTTATCTTGATGCTCTGATTAAGCAGTTCTTTATGATTTCTCGTATTATTTTATAATTCTCCTTTCTGCAAACAGCCACAAAATCTGTTGTGAGGAGCGAGAGTAATGTGAGATTTTCGGCCAGAACACCTATGTGACACTTTGTCTCTCGTTGTGTCCTGATCCCCTCTCTCACGGTCTAAAACGGTATCTCTTTCAATATCTCTCCCTCTCGCTTTCACACTCGGTGTCCTTTCTTTTCTCTCTCCTTTGCTGTGAAATGTCAAATGGAAATTCAGTTTTTCTGTTTATTGCCCAATAGATGGAGGCAACATCAGGATCACATGATACATAAAGTCACTGTTGCATAGAGAGAGTGTGTGTGTGTCTGTTTGTGGACATGTGAATGTTTACGTGTATATATATTTGGAGAGAAATGAGAGTAAACGGTCGGTGGTTCACAGAAAATAGAGGTCTGATGATGAAAGAGATGGTCACTGGGACATGCCGACCCCCTTCCCAAAGATTCACTGTCGCCTTTGACCCAGACCCAGCTCCCCTCACATAAATACAAAGACAAAGCCCAAAATGCGTGTTTTGAATGACTTACAGAGGATCCGAGTATGTCATCAACTGCCTTTTATATTGGATCAAAATGTATAACTGGCACAAGTTTACATTCTTTTAAACATTACCTTCAAATATGTGAAATGTTTACATAACTGCAAAATAATACAGTAATATATAAACTTTGTTCTAAACAAAGATAGAAAAGATAGTTCCAAAAGATTTTTTTTTGTGGAACATGAAGGGTAAATTCTTGAACATTTTGGTCACTCTTTTCAATAAAATGTGTTCTGTTCCTCACAGACATGGGATTTTTATGTTGACTTTGTATCTTTTTATACGTTTGAAAGCTTATTTATTATTTATTACAACTGTTTACAAAAAAGTGACCTGCACATTTTTTTAATTTCTCTTTTTGTGCTCCACAGAAAAAAGTTGGGCAGTCTCCTCAATAAACAGTGATGTTACTGTTAACTAAAACTTTATTAAAATTATTTTTCTCCATTTGAATAATTCTGAAATTAAATAGTGCATGAAAATATTTTAATGATAATTTAAATATTGCCTTCATGACTAACTGAAATAAAATAAATTGAGGGTTGGAGTACTAAAAAAGCAATTATCTAAATTTAAACATTTAAAAAACAAACTAATACAAATTACAATCACAGAACAAAACTGCTATAATTAGTGAATGATATATAACAAAAT